TGCGTATTGCTGTGTGTTTGTTTTTTCTACATTGACTAAAGGTATAGGGGGGATTGAGAACCCACAAAACATCGTTTAACACCGCCGCATGTTTGCGCCTGTCCCAATACAGGAGCCTCTGGCCTTTGCTAGTCTTGTATGATTTTTAATTTAAGTTTCTATTATACATTTCGGAGTTTAGTTTGACGTCCATTATCACTGAACTAGTATACATTTTTGTTTAGGGGCCAGCTGAAGCACTCCTCCGGGTGCGGGATTTTCTCGCTGTATTGAAGACACATTGGTGGCTTTCAGTTGTTTTCTGCTCTTTGGTCGGGTTGTTATCTCTTTGACACATTCCCAATTTCCATTCTCAATTTAATTATACATTAATAAAATACAACGAGAAAACGAAGACCATATTCTTGATTTATCGAGTTACTGACCTTGTGTATATTATAAAAAAGAAAAAAATGTTCAAGCAAACCTGGGGCCTATAGTTTTCAATAAATAAGCAAAAATATGCGAAAATCTGCAAATTTTGGTATTTTAAGAGAAACAAAATCTGAAAGTTTTGCCCACAAGACTCTATTGTAGCTCTTAATGATCTGAACAATTTCCAATTTAAACTAAGGCTCTAGCTTTTAATCTAAAATTTGAATTGAATGGATTTGATTTGATCGATAAAAACAAATAAGAAACAGTATAATTTTGAAAATTTAGGCGAAATGTATTTCTTACTCTAAAAGAAGCATATAAATATATGCAGTGTTGTATATGTATATATATTTTAAAATATACGACGAGGAAAAGTAACATCCGGCCACCGAAAGCTTTATTATTGTAGAGCCTAGGTGGTCGTGTGGTCTAGCGCGTCGGGCATAGTGCAAGGCGATTTGGTGCCACGATATATTAGGAGCTCGAATCCCGCCGAGGGAAGAACAAAAAAATTGCGAGAGCAAATTTACAGACCTAACGTTGTTAGGCTGATGTTTAGACGTATTTTAAAATATATAGAGAATATCATATGGCTTTTTCAATATCACATCCGTATCAACCCGAGACAACAATATAATCCCAAGAGCTCTACTCGAGGGATTATATTGGTTGAGGGTTGATACGGTGTGTGATATTGAAAAAGCCATATCATATACACTTTATTATATACATATACCTCACGTAGATGTGTTTAATGTGACATGACGTCATACAGATAAGGGGGGTTGAAATGTCGTCATACAGATTAGAGGTTTGATATGACGTCATACAGATTAGGGGTTTGATTAACCTTTGCAACAGTGACTGCAATCGATGATGTGACGTCATATAGATTAAAGGTGTGATAAAGCTTTTGCACATGTGCAACCGTGCTGATATCGATATCATCACGGGTGGCTGATACAGAACGCTTGCCAATGATTGTATTACACATACAATTTATCTGTATTTACTACTAAGTATATAATAAATATACATATACAACACTGCATATATTAATATACTTCTTTTAGAGTAAGACATACATTTCGCCTAAATTTTCAAAATTACTTTCTATATTTCCATATCTACTACCAATGAAAGCCTTTATATAATTATCATGCTTTTATATTTTTTTGATATTGTATGCGCTTATCATTATGCATAGGGCACTTTGTATTTCTTAATCTCAATGTTAAATAAAGATTGAAGTGGACTTTGATAGCTTTCTATTGCTCCTGGATAAATGACATTTCTGTAAACAGGAAATACTTTGGAATATTGATGAAAAACTAAAAAAGGCTCCAGCTTTTACGACTTTCAAGATATTGTCAAAACTAATATGAAGATTTGAAAAAATTGCAAATAAAGGCCCATAGCTCTTTAATAAGTTTTCCGATCAACCTAAACTTAAAATTTGGCAGATACAGATCATTATGTACTAATCAATTTTACCCTCTGCTAGAATTTTGATATATGTATAAGTTTTTATATGCAATAACCCCACCCCACCATAACTATATATCGAGATAAAGATTTAATTATATCGAGATTACGATATAATTATATAGAGATAAAGAAATAAATATATGGAGATAACAATAAAATTATATCGATATAACGATATAAATATTTAAATAACGATATAAATATCGAGATAACGAAATAAATATATGTAGATAACGATATAATTATAGAGAGATAACGAAATTAATATATCGATATAACGATATAAATATCGAAATAGAGATAAATATATCGAGATAACGATTTAATTATATCGAAATAACGATATATATATATATATAAAGATTACGAAATGAATATATGGAGGTAACGATATAATTATATCGAGATAACGAAATAAATATATCGATATAACGATATAAATATCGAGATAACGAGATAAATATATCGAGATAACGATTTAATTATATCGAAATTACGATATATATATTGAGATAACGAAATAAATATATGGAGATAACGATATAATTATATCGAGATAACGAAATGAATATATCGATATAACGATATAAATATCGAGATAACGAGATAAATATATGGAGATAACGATTTAATTATCTCGAAATAACGATATATATATTGAGATAACGAAATAAATATATGGAGATAACGATATAATTATATCGAGATAACGAAATAAATATATCGATATAACGATATAAATATCGAGATAACGAGATCAATATATCGAGATAACGATTTAATTATATCGAAATAACGATATATATATTGAGATAACGATATAATATTATTTTTGTGTAGGTCCCATCTGGGCTTCCGTACAAAAAAGTTACCATTATACCGCATTCCCGAAAATAAAACAATCGGGAATGGCCAATTACCACAAAAAAGGGACACATTACCGCAAAAAAAGTTACCGTTTACCGCTTTCCCCTATACCAGTCGAACGGGAATGGTATTTGATAACTTTTTCAACGCTTTCCCCTAACCCTAACCATAACCCTATCAAGATAAACAAAATAAATATCGATATAACGATATAATTATCGATCGATAATTATATCGAGATAATCATATAATTATATCGAGATAACGAAATAAATATATTGAGATAACGATATAATTATATCGAGATAACGAAATAAATATATCGAGATAACGATTAAATTATATCGAGATAACGAAAAAATATATCGATATAACAATATAAATATCGAGATAACGATTTAATTATATCGAAATAACGATATATATATATTGAGATAACGATATAATATTTTTTTTAGGTCCCCTATGGGCTTCCGTAGTATAAAGCATTTTACTAAACCCCATGCCATAACTTGGAAAACATGAAAGAAAGTACGAGTTAGTTTATTGTAATAACAGTTGTCTAGCAAATAGTAGGTTCTAACCAGTAATCTTAATCCGATTTTCAATGATATTCACACATTTTTTAAAGTTAACCCGTTATCATTAGTGGATTAAAAATGGAAACTTTATTCCTCTTTTGTTCATTCTATTGTCTGGAAAGTTCGAGGAACTCTTTCATCATAGTTTGTCTCCGATTGTTTGAATTTATGGAGACCGAAATGAAACTTTTTAACCACCTGCTGTTCGTGTTGACTTTGACTGTTAGAAGGCGAAATATTTAGTAATTTGGACTTTTCTATTTTTGGATGTGAAATTTTATAACCATTTATCTCTAATACAAAGAATCAATTATATGAATGGGCTGTGTAGTGGATATCAAATGATTTTTTAACTTTTAACCATGATAACTGAAATGTTGTTTATGAAGCTCAAATGTCTTGTAAAAAAAGCGCAAATGTCCTTTATAAAAAAGCGCAAATGTCCATTTAAAAAAGCGGAAATGTCCATTTAAAAAAGCGCAAATGTCCTATCAAAAAGCGCAAACGTCTCGCGCCGCGCAAATTTCCTGTAAAAAAAGCGCAAATGTCCTTTATAAAAAAGCGCAAATGTCCATTAAAAAAAGCGAAAATATCCATTTTTAAAAAGCGCAAATGTCCCGCGCCGTGTTTTACATACCAGTGACAAATTCCTGTTATAAGTATAATTATAAAATATCGACCAGATATATTATAATTAGATTTTTATCGGTAAATTATATAATGACAAATTTGACAATTATTAAAAAGGTGTATTGATGGTCATAATACACGTTTATTTTTTAAGTAAAAAAACAATAGGTTATTTGTATTTCTTATTTATATTTTCAGAATATTTTATATCAAGGAGGTAAAGGTATGTTAAAGGTGTTTCCGACGACTTTTAACCTCCATACGGACAAGCATCCGCTAAAATGCTAATATAGAAATTTTGAATCTGTTTAAATAAAAAAAACGCCATTTTGTCGTATACTTTTTGAACTGTATTTGACTTGATATGTGGATTATTTTATGTACTGAGTCCCCGATAAACCGAGTGACACCCTTGTTGTCGTGACAACATAAATCTTTACTATATTATGAATACCAATATTTCCGTAAGATGTTCATGTTGAAATTGTTCTAAGTCTGTCACACGGTGTGAAATTGCATTTAAATCATTTTGTATTGTTGTTTAAGGCTATGCACAAAAATAATGTCAGTGCACCATTTTGAGTTCGCAGCGATGTTTAATAAGTTGATGTGATAAATATGTTTGGCAGTAAACCAGCCGATTTAATAGTGATCCTATAGTGAAAACAATGTGATTTTGCCACGAGTAAAAAATCCTTATAGAATATAAAAGTTTTATTTGAAAACATTTTAAAGTTAAAAAAATCTGTCAGATTTTGGTAAATGGAAAATTTGTATTTGTTAAAGTCGAGGTAAGGGTTTACACATAGAACCTTAGATATTTGACTTTCACAATTGGTAGCAAGACACATTGTTTAATTATGTATTCTAATCCAAATATAAAGTAAAATTTATATTTAATCAAACGGTTAAAATACAATGAAAGTTTATGCTCCTGTGGTTCAATATGATCCCTAAAGAGGATTAACGATACAACACACTAAACTTACAGACAGTTGATATAGTTGTAATAGTATAGAACATAGTAATTATATTGTGTGTTCCACGTAGTGAATTACGTGCAAAATAATGTAACTGGTATTGTTACTGTGAAAACAAGGGAGGAGTTTGGAATACTTTCTCCGCAAATTTAAGTAAGTTAATATCTTTTTGTTTTCAAAAATAATTGAAGAATCTTTCCGATAAACTGGATAATTGATTTTTCGGTGAATTTATTCCATCGCAAGACTTTTAATTTATAATTAGAGAAATGATTACCCAAAGTTTACAGCAATGGCAAGTTTATGCTTTCATCATGCTAATTTCTACAAATCCAGGAATTAAATATTATATATCAAGCGTAGTGCTGTGCATGTTTAACAATTAGATATGAATATCGCCTAAATATAATTTCATTTTCCTCCTTTTGTAGCGATTTGACTGAAAAACAGAATGAGTTCTTTGGACGAAGACGATCATGCAGGTAATTCAAAGATATGAAAATTGAATTCAATGACATATAGTGATAATCACAGGTGCGCAAAACTGTTAAAAGCCTGCCTACTGCTCTGTCTAAAACTCGTGCATATACACCATGAGAGTACTGTATATTAAGCCTCTATCTCGTATTTTTTTCCCGATCTGAAAATATGCCAAAAATATGTTTTCGAATTGAATTAACATGTACGGGGGTCTGAATGGGGTTTACAAAATGGAGAATAATTTGCAATACTTAGAATGAATAGGTGCTCATAGACATAAGAAGATGTGGTATGAGTGCAAATGAGACAACTCTCCATCCAAGTCAAAATTCATAAAAGTAAACCATTTTGGTCAAAGTACGGTCTTCAACGCGGAGCCTTGGCTCACACCGAACAGAAAGCTATAAAGGGTCCCAAAAAATTACCAGTGTAAAACCATTCAAACGGGAAAATCAACGGTCTAATCTATATAAAAAACGAGAAACGAGAAACACTTATGAAACACATCAACAAACCGTGGCGACAATTACTGAACATCAGATTACTGACTTAGGACAGGTGCAAACAATTGCAGCGGGTTTAAACGTTTCAATGGTACCAAACCTTCACCCTTATCTGAAACAATAGTGTAACATCACAACATAGAAAGACACACTATAAAATATCAATTGAAATGGCTTAACTCATTCAAAAGATATATTAACACCAGTGAACATACACTGAACAAATAAATTTGATCTTTGATACAATGTAAATACAAAATAAATATATATATAGAATAGAGAATAAAGGCAAAAAAAATAAAAAAAATAAATAAAGAATACAATAGAGATTTAAAAAAAATGTAGACTACTAGCTGAGTAAAACTTGAATAATACTAAAGTAAAGACACCTCCAAAATCCAGACCCTAATGCATATGAATAATAGATATGCGGTATGCGTAAATGAGAAAGCAATTCAACGACAATAAAAGCAAAAAGACATAATAGGTGAACATACGGTCTTTAATCATAGACACTTGTCTATGTAATACGTATGCCAAGATTCAAATCGCAAGCAAAATGTATCATTCTGTGAAAATCTCAGTTATACTCTATCTATTGCTATAAATATGTTTTGATATGCATGATATGCATGATAAATAATTTCCTGTGTATACTTTTAGCACGCAGTAGAACGTGTTATATGTGTACTTGCAGCCATCTGTCGAACGTATCAATATGTGTAATTATGTCTACCAGTAGACCGTATCATATGTGTATATGTAGCTTTACGTAGAACTTATCTTATGTGTACTTATAGCTACCAGTAGACCGTATCATATGTGCACTTGTAGCTACCAGTAGAACATATCATATGTGCTCTTGTAGCTACCAGTAGACCGTATCATATGTGCACTTGTAGCTACCAGTAGAAAATATCATATGTGCTTTTGTAGCTACCAGTAGACAGTATAATATGTGTACATGTAGCTTCAAGTAGAACGTATATTAAGTGTACTTATAGCTACCAGTAGAACGTATCATATGTGCACTTGTAGCTACCAGTAGAACGTATCATATGTGCACTTGTAGCTACCAGTAGAATATATCATATGTGTACTTGTAGCTACCAATAGAACATATCATTTGTGTACATGTAGCTACCAGTAGAACATATTATATGTGTACTTGTAGATACCAGTAGAACATACCGTTTGTGTACATGTAGCTAACCGTAGAACGTATCAATATGTTTATTTATAGCTAACATTAGAACGTATCATATGTGTACTTGTAGCTACCACAAGAACGAAGCATATGTGTACATTTACATGTAGCTACGAGTAGCACGTATCAATAAGTTTATTTAAAGCTAACAGTAGAATGTATCATATGTGTACTTATTTTCTTAATTATTACGTTGTGCTGTTACATTACTGTCCCAGGTCAGTGAGCGCTCGTAAAACCTGTTTAACTTCGCAACATTTTATATGTGCCTATCCCAAGTCAGAAGCCTGTAGTTAAGTGGTTGTAATATTTTTTTTCAGATATTGTTTTGTACATAAATCATGTAAAAAAAAATTCCGTTTGAATTGCTTTACATTTTGTGATTTCGGGACCTTTTATAGTTTTACTGTATTGGTTTTGCTCGTTTTTGAAGACTGGACGGCGACCTATAGATGCTGACATCTACGTTATTTGATCTCTTGTGGATAGTTGTCTCATTGGCAATCATACCACATCTTCTTATTTTTATGTTGTAGCTCTCAGTAGAACGTATCATATATGTACGTGTAGCTACCGGTAGAACGTATCATATTTGTACGTTTAGCTACCGGTAGAACGTATCATATCTGTACGTGTAGCTACCAGTAGAACGTATCATATCTGTACGTGTAGCTACCAGTAGAACGTATCATATCTGTACGTGTAGCATCCAGTAGAACGTATCATATCTGTACGTGTAGCTACCAGTAGAACGTATCATATCTATACGTGTAGCTACCAGAAGAACGTATCATATCTATACGTGTAGCTACCAGTAGAACGTATCATATCTATACGTGTAGCTACCAGTAGAACGTATCATATCTATACGTGTAGCTACCAGTAGACTTATCAATATATAAACATGAAGTTACGATTAAAATGCATTATTTATGCTCTGGATGGAGTTAACAATAGAGAGAATAATGGGCCAATACTACAGAAAAATGGAAACCCCCCCCCCCCCAAAAAAAAAAAAGAATAAAGAAAATAGGCTAAAAAATAAAGAATAAAGAATAATGGAGTGCTCAAATATAAAGAATAGAGAATGATGGGCAAAATTTATAGAATACAAAAATGAAGACCCCCACCCAGACCCTTATTATTCCATGTACTAGTATCAATATGTATCACTGTATATATTTCCAGCTATCAGTAAAACATATCATTCCATCGATGAAAATGGCGATGGTCGTGTTTCTATGGCGGAAGTGAAGAGAGCATCAAAAAGACTTGGCATCGATCTATCTACAGACAAACTAAAGCAGATGATGAGAGATGTTGATAAAAATGGTAGTACAACTTAAAAAAACAAAAACATAATATAAGTTTTAACCACGCCCTTTTACCGGCTATCTGTATGGCAGATGAAATCGGCAACACAGTTTAGAATCTGGTTTTAAGAGCGCAATTATTCGTAATGCATTTTCCATAGGGTACCAGTGGTGTTCCATATTTTATTTCTAGAAGACTACACAAACTAGGAAAAAATGGGTAGCAGTTCCTGTTACTAGAAATGTCAGTGTTGCATAACAACCAAAAAAATATATATGGTCATGCGGCAAAAATTTACTTAAAATGCAGTTGAAAAACATTCTATTTTTTCCGCAGAATGAAAAATGCAGATTTTTAATGGCTCCAACGTGCAGATATTGAATATATTTTCTATACTTTGTAAAATGTGAATTTGATTTTCTGGTTTTTTTTTAAACCTAATTGGATAAGCTTTCGATAAAAAGTAATTCCAATCCTGTATCATCCAATCAGAAGCCGTACAAGATTATATTCTGAGTACCATCTTGGGGCAAATGATTGCGCTCTTTCTGCTGTACACGATAGCAAAATCCATTGTATTTCAATTGAAATCAAAACACAGTAAAAAAAAACTGCTGTGCACGAAAGCCAAATCAATTGCCTTAAATATTTATCGGAAACTTCGTTCTGATTACAGATTTACACACTAAATGATGTGTGTAACCGCTTCGGTGGTCTCGTCGTATCGAGTTCGCCTCGAGTAATGGAGGTGATTCGAACCCGGACTTTAGAATTGGTGTTTGATGATTCTTCGCTAAGCACGCGGCATTAAGAGTAAGAACAAAGACTGGTTGCCTCGAAGTCAGAATAATGTGTCCAGGTAGTATGACATTCATTCCTGTGGACTATTACCTTGTAGCGTGTTAAAAATCCGACTCGTGTCGGCTTAGTACAAAGCAGGGTTAATATTCATATAACATTAACAGAGTTGATCTCGTATAATATGGATAATCTGCAATATTTTGTTTCAAAATTAACTAAAGGCATTCTGCATGTATTTTATAATCATTGATGATTCAACAAGTAAAACTGTTAGCTACTGCTCACTGACAGATGATACCCCCGCCGTAATATTTCGGTAAACAGGAAGTTAATGAGTGATGAATCTGAAAACGCATCACACGGTAAAGCTGACTTATATAAACCCTGAAACCAAATTTCAGAAATCCTTGTCAAGTAGTTCTTGAGAAAAATGCGACGAAAATTTTCAACTTGGCTATCATGTGTAAAATAATACAAGTGTTCGGTAAACAGGAAGTTGTTGAGTGATGAATCTGAAAACGCATCACACGGTGTAACTTACTTATATAAACCCTGAAACCAAATTTCCGAAATCCTTGTCAAGTAGTTCCTGAGAAAAATGCGACGAAAATATTCATGGGACGGACGGACTGACGGACTGACGGAAGGACAGACAGAGGTAAAACAGTATACCCACCTTTTTTAAAGCGGGGGTATAAATACACTTTTAAGGCAATGATGATTCTGCATTCGCCAAATAACCTATCTCAAGAATCATTGACAAGCAAACTTTTAAATAAAATAATTTATGAAGGTCGCATTACTTTTCCAATATCTGTCAAGTATTTCTGTAGGAAAATCTTACTTTTTTTCAATAATTAATAAGTGTTTTGCTAAAATTCATACATTGATGAATTCCGAAATATGTACACTGCAAAGGCTTAATCTAAACTAAGCTGTAAAAATTTATCAAATTTGAAAAAATTCCCTCGTACATGTATCTATTCCAGGAGATGGGTATCTGGACTTAGGTGAGTTTGAAAAGTTGATCACAGAATATATTAAACATGACCCTAATGATATAAAGACAGCACGAAAAATATTTCAAGCCATGGATGTTGATAAAGATGGAAAAGTAACGACTTCAGAAATTATGAAAGCTATGAAAATCTCCAAGTCAGACGCTAACGATCTCTTAGTGGAGGCAGATTCAAATAAAGACGGGAAAATGTCTTTTGACGGTATGTTTTGTTTGAGGGTCTGGATGGGGTTTGCAGAAGAGAGAATAATGGGCAAAAAGAGCAGAATAAAGGGCAACAAATATGAAGAATAGAGAAAAACAGGCCAAAAAAAAAAGAATAGATAATAAGAGGGTGATAAAATATAAAGAATAGAGTAGAATGGGCAAATTTATAAAGAATAGAGAAAATTGGCTTAAAATCAAGGAATACAGAGTTGTAGGACCCCCGTCTAGACCCTTTTGTTTGGTAACTTGACAATCTAATTGAAATACAGATTCTGTGTCTACGCTTCGCTTACAAAGATTTAACAACGCTCCATTTTAATTATTGATTTTAAAGACCTTTCGGGATCCTCTAGTTTTGTCGCAATGATACACACCTTCAAAAAGTTAAAAGCTGAAATTCCATTGGGTGATGTAATAATTTAGTAAGTATTTTTAGCGAAGCGGACAAAGGAGCTGTATTTCAGGTGGGAACATTTCCATATAATCTGGCTTTTTCTGGAAAAATTTCTTCAAGCGATTCTCATATGAACATTTGGTGATTGCATGCGCGAGTATATTCGTGGACATATGGGGGTTTGAAACAGATTTGATGGTGCACTAAACATCCCAGTATATGAGTTCTAACATGGCTATGTTTGAATCAAACGGTTTATATAAAAAATCTACTTATGCTTACCATTATTACATTTGAAAGGGTTGATAATTTTTCCAAAATCTACAATGTTTACATAACATGTTTTATCAGACATTTGTATCTCAAAGCAAACAAACATATGTGTAAAACATATAAAAGCCTGCAATTGTTCGATTCAAACTGTATGGTATCATGTGCTTCGAAAGGTTTAATTGATTGATTGGTGTTTAACGCCACTTTCAGTACTATTGTGCTATTTCGTGGCGGTATTTTGTTATTGGCGGAGGAAGCCGGAGTGCTTGGAGAGAACCACCGACCTTCGTTAGGAAAACTGACAATCCTATTCAATTAAGATTGGAGTCAAGCGCACCTGCCACGTTGGGTATTCGAACTCACAACTTCGGTGTTGACAGGTTAGTGATACAGTAGTTCGACTACTTAGATCACTAGACCACCGAGGCCCCTCGGGAGGTTTAAAGGCTGACGTTCGAATTTGTCTAATGTGACCGCAAACATCCTTTGAATACTAATACGATTACTGTGTGTATACATTAATTATTGTTTGTTTTCTGTAAATCTTGAAAAAGGACACCATGAATTAAGTTTGTGGATCGACTTCGCGGTTGGTGTAACTCGACACACATAGCATCACAAAACACTGAGTTTGAGAATTTTTGTATACAAAAACAGAACATTTGAACAAGTACAGCGATTTACAACAAAACAGTTTTACATCACTTAAATTCGATAGCATATGTGTGCAAGTGCGTTAAATTCGTATTAAAAAATTGTTACGTTAATTATTTGTATTCATTTCAGAATTTGTCAAAGTTATGAAAGGACAGACCGGATAAAAGGTCCTGTTGGATTATGCAGCCTGTTTGTCTAACAGTCGGAAGAATAATGCTTGTCTGCAAATAAGCACAAGAAGATGGACTTTGTAAACTATTTAAAAAAAAAAACATATTCTGTATGAGCTGGTTCAAAAGAGTCTTGAATGTTACGTGTAGATATATGTATTTTATAGCATGACCATGATGGCATTTGTAATAAAAGTAAATTAAGAAAATGAAAAAGAAATACAATGATTTAGAAATAAAGTATATATGATATTTACTGAATCAAGAGCATGTAACAGATTATATTCAAAGTGAAGCATAATTTAATGCCCATTTGATGCTCTAGGTGCGCTTTTCAAGAAATCATGGATACTCAAGACTCATATTTAAGAAATTAAAATATAAAACAAGGAAACAATGAACAGCGAGAATATATAAAATAAACATAACGGCCATGAGTACATTTACTATCAAAGCTATGATCCTTATAGTTTCCCCAATAATTTCACGATACTGTCATTGCGGATTACAAATGCACAACAAAGAAAAAAAAGGGGAAACAAATAAACACATCCGCCCAAATACACCTACAATTTGTTAAATATTTTTCTGCCTTAAAGAAAAACTTTATAAGGCCATCAGAGCCTACCGCGCATAACATCCTTTTTTGTCATGGTTTACGGTCTGAGACTGGCGTATAACATCCTATTTAGTCATGTTTTACATTTTGAGACTGGCGTATACCATCCTATATAGTCATTCTTTTGCATTCTAAGGCTGGCGTATACCATCCTATATAGTCATGTTTTACATTCTAAGGCTGGCGTATAACATCCTATATAGTCATGTTTTACATTCTAAGGCTGGCGTATAACATCCTATTTAGTCATGTTTTACATTCTGAGACTGGCGTATACCATCCTATATAGTCATTCTTTTACATTCTAAGGCTGGCGTATACCATCCGATATAGTCATGTTTTACATTCTAAGGCTGGCGTATAACATCCTATATAGTCATGTTTTACATTCTAAGGCTGGCGTATACCATCCTATATAGTCATGTTTTACATTCTAAGGCTGGCGTATAACATCCTATTTAGTCATGTTTTACATTCTAAGGCTGGCGTATACCATCCTATATAGTCATTATTTTACATTCTAAGGCTGGCGTATAACATCCTATATAGTCATTCTTTTACATTCTAAGGCTGGCGTATAACATCCTATATAGTCATGTTTTACATTCTAAGGCTGGCGTATAACATCCTATATAGTCATGTTTTACATTCTAAGGCTGGCGTATAACATCCTATTTAGTCATGTTTTACATTCTGAGGCTGGCGTATAACATCCTATTTAGTCATGTTTTACATTCTAAGGCTGGCGTATAACATCCTATATAGTCATTCTTTTACATTCTAAGGCTGGCGTTTACCATCCTATATAGTCATGTTTTACATTCTAAGGCTGGCGTATACCATCCTATTTAGTCATGTTTTACATTCTGAGACTGGCGTATAACATCCTATTTAGTCATGTTTTACATTCTGAGACTGGCGTATAACATCCTATTTAGTCATGTTTTACATTCTAAGGCTGGCGTATACCATCCTATTTAGTCATGTTTTACATTCTGAGACTGGCGTATACCATCCTATATAGTCATGTTTTACATTCTAAGGCTGGCGTATACCATCGTATTTAGTCATGTTTTACATTCTGAGGCTGGCGTATACCATCCATGTTTATTCATGTTTTACAATTTGAGACTGGCGTATGCCAATGTTTTATATTCTGAGACTAGCGTATAACACCATCTTCTAACATTACAAGTGGATAATCAGCATTGGATGAAGAATAAATCTAAATTGCCTTGTATGAAAAAATGTCTGTGCTCCAAAATATGTAAAAGAAAAATTACGCTGCAGCAAGATACGATCGTACCATATCGATTCGATCTTGTTTACTTCAATACATCGTATGTAAGATGTGATTAGACAGTTAGTTGTACGTTGTGATTGACACCTAGAAAAGATAGATTGTCGGGTCTTAAAATGTCCAATAACTTTAAAGCTGAAGTTGTACATTTGTTACCGGATAGCTCGTCTTACACTGGGCCGATACCACTGTTGATAGTCCTCGAGGGTATCACCAGCTCAGTAGTCAGTGCTCTGGTACTGACATGATTTGTAAAATAGGGTTTTCTAAAAGGTTCTGGTTGGCAATTTAAGAAATTTCTAGTTTTAAAAAACTAAGGTTCCAAACACTAAGGAAAGGTTGACCGTCGATCAAATTGGCTATTCGATTCGGTCCCTTTTATTCACAAAGCTCTTACCGTTTATACGTATTTATACATCCCTGGCTTTCAAGTGTGTAGGTTTGCGCTTTCCTGGTGAAGGTAAATATGGAAAAGCATTGAAGACTCACCTCTTCTATAGTTTGTTATTTCAATTTCACCAGGAGCATACAAAAACTTCCATATTCATTGTATGAATTTGAAAAAAAAAAGATTCCGTGTCACCGTTTTGTTTGAATGATGTTTTAACGTCGATTTTTATACATGTGTAATTCGACCGTCTCTAGAAAAATACAAATTTAAAAAAATCTACATGGAAATCTCGTACAAATAAATAAAAGAAATACAAATTACAAATTTTTGAGATGGACCTTTCAAACTGCTTAATCGGAACATCGTATTTAACTGCCTTATTAAAACTGACTGTATTTGCATTTTCATGTCTAATTTTAAACCAATGCAATACAATGCAAGATTCCTGTTGCTCTGTTTGAACATTTTTTAAAAAGATTTTGTAGAGCAGGATCTGTTTATAATTCTGAAGCACTTTAGATAACGTACCGGCTTTTGGTGGGTTTGGGTTGCTCAGTCTTTAGTTTTCTATGTTGTGTTTTCCTCTTATAATTGATGTGTTTCCCTCGGTTTTAGTTTGTAATCCGGATTTGTTTTCGCTTAATCGATTTATGACTTTTGAACAGCGGTATACTACTGTTGCCTTTATTTGTAGACTGTTGCATGTATTTTCATCGTTTTTCGTTTTTTTCAAAAAGTTTATTTTGGACTTTTTGGAGTTTGAATATCTCTTTGGTATCTTCTGCCTCTCTTTTGTTAGTTGTTTTCGTGTTCTTTGTCCACTCTATCTATGCTTCTTGAAATTGTATATTTGGTTTGATCCATGTATTTTTTTTTATTGCCTCAACGTTGCTAAAAGGATAGACAAATTCATAATTATTAAAATAAGGAGAATGAATGTGGTATGATTGCCAATGAGACAACTTCCCATCACAGTTCAAATGAAATAGATGTAAGCAATTATAGGCAACCATGCGTCAACCGTACGGCCTTTAACAATGAGAAAAACCCATACCGTGTGGTCGAGTATAAAGAGCACAGACCTGAAAAAATATGAAACGATGCAATTGAGCAAACTAACTTTCTGGTTTATGACAAGACAAATACCGGCATGACAGACGTGAACCAACGACAACCTCTGAATTACAGGCTCCTGACTTTGGAAAGGCATATATATAATGTGGCGTGATAAAACATATTTGGGACAGTGATGTAAGCCCACATTCCGTAGTTTGTATCATATAATATACACACTTAGCACAGTTAATAGTTTGAATCACTTGTAAGAATTAACAGTTTGGAATGAGGGACAGAGTCTGTGATTTAAATATTCGTAAGTCGTTATTATGCTATTGTTCTGACAGTCAGTATATGAACGTTTAAAGAACCAATTATACTTTATGAAAATATTTTTATGAATTTAAATAACTTTAATAATGGCAATTATAAATGTATGTATATTTTGTTTAAGAACATTTGTATTTAAGACACTGGGGTCAATTTGTCAATCTTGAACAAGATCTTTGTTATCTCAGTACAATGTATGTATATGTTGTTTAAGAACATTTGTATTTAAGACACTGGGGTCAATTTGTCAATCTTGAACAAGATCTTTGTTATCTTAGTACAATATATGTATATGTTGTGTTTTGTTACAACCTAATTGGTTTCATAATTCGTTACGTCACTCCTAATACTTATCAAGTCGTTAATTTACACCAAGTTCATAGTGATTACAAACACAGTTAAGTTTATCAAATAAGGAATAATAAATAATAAGACTGTTTTAATTACAACTGTGACACACGATAGTGTCTGAAGGTAAGTTCTACAGGATTGCATGGGAATTTAAATTCATTCGTGCTATCATATTTCGGATTAGAGTGTTATGTAAAGATCAGAAGAGTTCAAAATGACAATACGAGATCGGCAACCGGAACAAACAAAAACATGCACACATTCAACTTCCGAAGCAATGTTAGCTCTCCGAACTTTCCCGAAGTCAGGCCTGCGTTTTTCTTCGGAAAATGCCTGTACCAATTTAGGAATAAGTTGCTCCCCAGTCGGTTGATATTGTCGAGAGTTTGGTTTTGTCAGTTTTGTTGATTTCCCCTTTCTGGATCTGCCTTCGGATTTGGTATTTTTGTTATTACATTTTAAAATTGCAAACGACACGTTAAACTAGAGTTTGAGCAATGATTCATAATATTTCTTATAATCTTGTATCATTGTTTGTCTTCTCATATTTTCCTGCTAAAATTGTGTTGTCATGTTCGTTGGAAGTTGCACTGTGCAGTATGTTTTTATTGTGTTGACGTGGTTCAATGAGACAACTCTTAAACAGAAATGTACGTAACTATAGGTAAGTGAACACCCCAATTACATTGTGGCGAGCTGAGTCATGTTATCTAGACCTTGTATTGTTCTTTGTTCTTTGTCTTTGTTGTACGTCTATTTTTGTCGAAGGAGTCCGAGTCGTCTGCTTGTTGTTGGTAGGTACAGTACGTTTACTTTTTTTTGTAAACTTTCTGTTATCCTTTTTTATTTTGTATTATTCAACGAAGTGGAATGAGACGTTCCGTAAAAGTTTTGTCCTCAAGAACGGAACAATTTCCCCAAATAAAACGAGGGTCTGAATGAGATATACAGAATAGAAAATAAATTAATGGCCCAAAAATAAACAATTATAGACAAAATGATTAGAAGATCTTAGAAAAAAGTAGATAATAGAGAATAACGTGATACTAGAATATACAGAATAGAGTATACCTATAGTTGTTAATTTCTGTGTCATTTTGGTCTCTTGTGGAGAGTTGTCTCATTGGCAATCCTACTACATCTTTTTATGTATATATATATATATATATATATATACATATATATATATATAATGGATTAAAACAGTAACAATTGAGAAAATTGGCTCCAAAAATTAAAGAACGATGGCTTAATGATTGAAACATTACAAAAATGAAGATCCCCCCCCCCCCAAAAAAAAGCAGACCCTCTCAAATTGCAGATTTCATAACAGGTGGGCTAACTTTTATTCTCAGAAATCTGCCATTCTTTTACATGTATATTCATATCATAAAAAATACCGAAAGTATATACTGGTTTATTGTTGGTTTTTGTGACGCTTGTCGATCTATTGAGGTTAGCAAATCGCATCTGATTTTTACAGTTTGTTCTTTTGTTGTGCTGTTGCGCCACTTCCCCTGGTTAGGGAGAGGGTTGAGCGCTCACAAACATGTTTAAACCCGCCACATTCTTTATGTGCCTGTCCTAAGTCAGAAGCCTGTAGTACAATGGTTGTCGTTAGTTCGTGTCTGTCATATTTGATTTCAGCAATCTTATTAAAATTAAATCTCCGCACTCGCTCATATTTTTAAGCTTGGTCGCTGCGTAGCGACCACGCATTTAAAAAAATGAGCGAGCGCGGAGATTTAATCTAAATTAGATTGTGTTTTTCGTAAATTGTTTTGTTATGTATTATGCCATTAGTTTTCTCGTTTGAATTGTTTCACATTTTTCATGTCGGGGCCTTTTATAGCCGACTATACGGTATGGTTTTTTCTTATTGCTGAAGGCTGTACAACTGGCGTATAATTGCTTACTAACACTTTATTTGAACTCTGATGGATAGTTGTCTCATTGGCAATCATACCACATCTCCTCATTGTTATACTACAGTGCGATTTCTCAAATGAATCGAATAAAATATTTGTGGCTTAAGCATTATGATCACTTTTGGTGTCCAGTTATTGGCACACGAAAGTGTCCGTCTTACGGGATTTATGACTGAATCAACTCAATACGTTTGATGAGCAGTTCCAGAGGTGTAATGAACATTTACGTTATAGCTTCCGGTGACAGTTTGTTTGGAAAAAAAACACAACAAAAATTATAGAATAGAATAGAATAGTGTTTTATTGCTAATCGCTGCGCCCAATGCAGAGATGAATAATTACATAAAATTTATATGCAATGATTACAATGATTTGATGAATGACAAGAAAAAAAGAAATAAAACAGAAGAAAAAAAGAAATAAAACAGAAGAAAAAAAGAAATAAAACAGAAGAAAAAATCAAAATCAAACCATTCAATCAAAAGCAACTGGTACATTATTGAATATATTAAGTACAGTAGTAACCCAGTTCCATAGTACCGACAAGCTGGACCAAACCTATGCACCCGCCACTTCTAATAATAATTGTAACGAAGGATTACTATAACTTGGCATCAAAAAACGATTAACTGACTATAATCCTTGTAGGCATTCCTGCCTTTTTTGTAAATAGTAAGACAAGATATTCATTTGAAAGTCTAATAATCTTGGGATAGAATAAAATTAACGAAGGCAAATTAAGGGAAGTGAATTAAGGGATCTTTCGGTGTTTCCCAAATCATACTATTACTGCGATGTATTGATCGTAGTTCTAATTTAAAAAAAGTCCTTTCCTATTTCAATTTCATTATTTTCTGAAGAAAAGTTAAAATGTTGACCAAACATAAAATGTTAACCAAACGGAAAAGTTAAATGTTATTTCAGAGTCTTTTAATGTAGAACAATAAATATTTTTACACTTAATAGACTTCGTACTTTTGGTGTTTCGATGGAATTATCTGTTAAGATGTTTGACCCGGTTAAATAAATAAGGATTAAAACTCGTTTGTATCCTCTGTTCAAGCTGACCGTGTACAATTCTATGTTTAATGAACCTTATACATCCTAACCTCGCATTTAAAGAAAGCAGATTTTTTTTTAAATATTGTAAAAAAAAATTATTTTTGAAATTTATCATCCGTAAATAAATAGCCTGTCTTTAAGTTAGTGAAACGTATTCGGATCCAGAAGGTTAATTTTTGGAAGGTTTGAGTAATATGACTCTTTTATGATTCATAAATTAGCATCCGATCTCATTTTACAGAAAGAGGTAGGGCCATTTTCCTGTGATATTATTTCACAAAAAAAACAAGGAAAAGGTATTCCGATTTTTATAAAAAGTTCCCAGTATGACAGCGTCAAGTGTGTAGATTGAGGATATAACCAATAATAGCGATTTAAGAAGTTACTTTTTAAATGCCTAGAAATTGCTCAAATTTTAACAAAAACTTGTTAAATTGCCAATATTGTACGAAAACTGTCATACAAAAAAAGTGTTTTTCGATAGTAAAGATATATGTAAAACTATTGTAAAATTAGAAGAAGTGGTATGATTGCCAATGAGAAAACTCTAGACAAGAGACCAAAATGACGTAGAATTTAACAATTATAGGTAATCGTACGTCCTTCAACAATGAGCAAAACCCATACCCATATTAAGCTATATAAGGCCCGAAACGACAAATGTAAAACAATTCAAACGAGAAAACTAACGGCCAGTGTTATGTACAAAACAATAAACGAAAAAAAAATATGATATACAGCAACACACGACAACCACTGATATGAAAAAAACCTCCTGACTTGGAACAGGCATTACTGCATGTGGCGGGCTTAAGCATATCGAAACAAAATTTGTATATCAAAATCATTCAACAAAATAATTTAATGCCTGAATGAAGCGTTTGGTTTCTTAATAAGTTTATTCTTATTTTTAAACTGATTGTGACCCTACTGCAAAAAGACTTCGAAAAAATTATAAAATTTAAACCTGTATCATAAGTACGGATTTTACACCTATTAGCCTTGTCTGCACGGATTATGGCGAATCTAAAATAATCTTATTACAGCTCTCTTGATTGTTTGATCTTCCGAACAGTGCGGATTTTAACACTTTCAAATTTGGATTATCTATATAAAAGGTATCGTACATTTTTGTTTTGAGCATTGAGCACTAGATAGTTTGTATCACAAATATCAGTGGCGGATTCAGTCACGGGGGTGGGGCCGGGGAATGTGGGTAATAGAGGTCGTATGTCTCCGTTTATTTGGAAAATATGAAATTTAGCATAAAATAGGAAAATTTTTCACTACGGACGGTCGGCACTAATTCTTTTGTTTTAACCCCCTTTCAAGAATCATGTATCCGCCCCTGTATATACCTACACATATGAGGTAATGTTAAAAAAAGTCAATATTGGAGTGAATTGTTGTGCTGTTCATTTTTATTAAACGTAGATTCGGTCATTAAAATCAAATTATCATACATGTACAACACCTCTCCTCTAAAAAAAATCACCTTTTTCTTGTTTTCAAACTCGTCACAGTTTACATCTTCAGAAAAATCAAGACAAATTATTTTAAATTTTAACCAAGCATTTTTTTGTGGTCGTGTAACTATTTCTCTTTTGTATACAATTATTCTTTTCATTTTGTTGGATAGAAAAATAAACATTTTTCATCCTTTCTTGCGCAAGGATATTTTTTTCATTTCTTACCAGCCAGGCTGGAATATTTATTTCTCAAATCATCCAGCACACGCCCCCTCCCCCCCCCCCCCCCAAAAAAAAACCCCAAATGGTCGTCCCCTCAACAGGGACAGTGGTATTATAGTACAACAATATAGTGGTAGAAGAAACTGTCAAGGGTTAATAGGTTATCTAGTGTAAAAGTTCAATATATGTACAATATAATAACAATTAATGTTAAATTCAGTGCACAAACAATGAAAATCTGTACGCTAATTTTGCTTATTAATAACTGCATATTCATAAGTATATAGATTTACCCTGAATTATCTGTTTTGTTACAGTATTGTGTTCCTGTATGAAAAGTTATAAAAACGATGGAATTACCGAAAGAAGCACGTGATGGTAGGTTGCAGTTGCCATGGTATTTATTTGCTCATGAAATTTCAAGTTCGTGTTTCTTTTTCGCTCAACAACAACACTGACATGATTGTATATTAAAAAAATAACAAATGAAGCAAAAACAATTGATGTTGAGATAAAAACAAAATTAAAAACAAAAAAACAAAATCAAATAAATCATATTGTTCGCCAGGAGCGCAATTAAAATGGAATACTGTATACGTAGAAGGTATTCAATCAGGAGTCCGTAAAAAAAGCCCTGCAGAAATAAATTGCAGGAGGAGATCCTTATGCGTATAAAATGTCATAAACTTGATGAATGAAATCATACCTTTATATACAGAAAAGCAGATCCGATTTTTTTTATTCAAAATGGAGAGGGATGTTACTTTCAACAATACATCCAACAACGTAATATTTGAAGCAATTTTCCCGAGGCAAACTCAGTTTAGAGCGCGACATGTAAATATTTGCCTGAAATCTGACGGTTCAAGTTTCATATCATCAGAAATCTCTTCAAATCGAAAAGTATCTTCGTTTTTAAAAATCTTGAAATATTGTAAAGTTTAAAGTTAATTGATCTTAGCATACTCCAGTTATTTTGATGCGGATGGCAGAACGTTGATAGTATTTTTTTTATTGTTAAATGCATTCACAACTGTATTAGAGCTTTACATATAATAGAGATCTATCTCTTGTTGGATGCAGTATGTAGTTTATATGTTGTTAGGTTTCTGTTGTTTGGTTGTTGTCTCATTTACGATCAACTCCTTCAAATTGGAAAAATGACCAAAGTTAACAACACATATCTTCTAGCTTTTGGCTAGTTTCTAAAGCTTGATCATAGATAAATCTTTTTTTTTAAAGCTTGGCTATGCTTTGCAGTTGAGGTCGTCTTATGTTTTCGCTCTTTTATAACCAACAGCAACGCCCTGGGTGGATTTTTGTGTTGCATGATGCACGAAAACGAAGAAAGGCTGCAATAGCATTGTTTCTAATCTGATAACAGTACTATCTTTCCGCCTTTCATTCCGGATGACTTCAAGATACAACCTGATGGCCTATTGGATTAGTTTTTAAGTCAGTAAAGTCCTAAATATGCATGAAATATTTGCCACTGCATGGGCGTTAATCAAACACTAACCAATTAAAGAATCATTTTAGAGAAACACGTATTCAATAGTATATAAAATGATGCTGCTAAATGTGCCGTTTCAGAATCTAGCGAATCGGGGTATTTGCATTATTTGTCACGTGACACCATACTGAAAATGACGTTTTTTTTCAATGGATATTTTTTCTTTGAGGACAATGTTAACGAATCAAAGTTATTTGGTGTACCCTTTAAAAACACTCGATATGCATAAGATTCTGAAAAGGTGACTTATGACCTTACCTGCATTGCTTTTTTCTCATACAATGTAATTTCGACGTTCTGATTTTTAAAGCTATAAAGAAGACATATCGTGCTATGGATGAGAATGGAGATGGCCGTGTTTCAGTAGCTGAGGTCAGGAGAGCTTCTAAACGAATAGGAATAGAGTTCAGCATGGATCAGATAAAACAGATGATGGGAGAGCTGGATGATAACGGTACAGTATAACTCGAATGTTGATGTGCCCTCTATCTGTCAGTGTTCTCTCGAGCGATCGATAGTGAGTCGGAATATAACGAGCGGATTAGTCGGGTTTTGTGCATGTAGTACATAATTGAAATATCAAATGTTTTCCTCGATTGTAACATTACCGAATTAGACTTACAAAATCTATCATTGAATGTGTACTTACCATGAGCAATACGTATTGACATGTGATACACGTGGGAGATTAGCCTTCCCTACCGACTGAGGCACCTGAGACTACCCCAATTAAATAAAAATTGGGGGGGGGGGTTTCGTGTTGCTCATATATATATAAGATTTCAATGAAGTGTTTTTCACACTGTTGTTTGTCTTTTAGTAGTTTTTTCCAATGGTTTTGTCGCCAAATCATCAGTCAAAGTGTAGTATACGGAGTTATCTGTTGCTGTTTCTGACATTGAAACATTATATCCAAGAAAAATGTAGTATGAAGAAGAAAATTAAAAAGCATTCGAAATTATCTTTCAATGGTTGTTTTTTGTTGCTGTATATAATATTTGTCTTTGGTTTGTTATATTGTACATACATCAGGCAGTTAGTTTTCTCGTTTGAATCATGCCAAGAAATCCTCGCTCAAAACTCCGGTAGACCTCCTACGGCATCCATTAGTAGTTAAAGATTTGATTTCATTCAACAAATTAATTTATGACCTGCATGTACGTGTCGCTTAGAACACAGCCATATACCAAATGGTTAATATTAATCATCCGTGTAATTTACTCTATGGGATATTTGCAAAATTTCAACGGAGGCAATTTCTTGGCATGGGAGAAAGGAAGAAAAACATTCACAACTTGTCTAACATTTTTTGTTTTCTCTTTTAATTAAATAAACCAAAAATTAAACCTTTCAAACGTACAGTTCATAAGATCAGAGACATATATGTCTCTGATAAGATAAAAATATTCCCCGTGGAACAACCTACCCCCTTTTTTTTCGGGCCTTCAATTTCAAATCTCGAATTAAGCTTTCCAATCTAATTAAAGTTAAAACCTTGCTTTCTAACCGATCTATTCATGTACAGGACCGGCAACTCTCTTTATTTAAAAAGAAAATATACAGTGCCGTTATACACATGCATGTTGTCTGCTTGAAATCCCCGCCCGAAAAGAAAGAAATAGCCTAAACTCCAAGATAATATATTCCTGCATCACGTGATTTTTACCACATGGAGCTTACATTAGAATAAATACCGAATATGGAAAGTGAAACTACAATTCAAAACTAAAAGTCCTGAGGCACATAGAAGAAAAAGGAGGTTTTTTTTTGGCAAAGGGTGACGGGGTAACCCTCTCTGTGTCCATAAAATCCATGAAATATTTGCCACCGCACCTTGTTTGCATGTTCTATGAGTTCTAACCCTGATTTTTCTATCTGTTACATGCCAAGAAATCCTCGCTCAAAACTCCGGTAGACCTCCTACGGCATCCATTAGTTGTTAAAGATTTGATTTCATTCAACAAATTAATTTATGACCTGCAAGTACGTGTCGCTTAGAACACAGCCATATACCAAATGGTTAATATTAATCATCCGTGTAATTTGCTCTATGGGATATTTGCAAAATTTCAACGGAGGAAATTTCTTGGCATGTTGTGTTACATTTGTCATTTCGGGGCCTTTTATAGCTTGCTATACAGTATGGTTTTTGTTCATTGTTGGCCGTAGTCACATAAAGTTGTGTTGTTACATTTCAGGTGATGGTTACATAAATTATCCTGAATTTGAAAGGATGATTACAGAATTTATTCATGAAGACACAGAAGAAGTTAATGCAGCGCGAAAAATATTCCAATCTATGGATGTGGACGGTGATGGCAAAGTGACAATTCCGGAAATAGTATCTTCATTAAACGTATCAAAAGCGGAAGCAAAAGAACTTCTGGAAGAGGCGGACACTAATAAGGATGGGAAAATGTCGTTTGAAGGTAAGATTTCAGTATTGACCAGTAATGCTCCCCTACATAATTTTTGTTTCACTCACAAATTAAAAAGTGCATTTTCATGAACCTCCAAATACAATGTTTAGTTCCTATATATTTCTAGCTAAAAATTCAAATAAGGATGTATCGGTCATTAAGACAAAAAAGCATTCATTGAAAGCTAGACGACTCGATTTTTTAAAATTTAACGCAATAGCATTCCCGGTAGTACTTGAACAACCCCTCGGGTTTATGTCACAAATTTTTGGTAAGTTTGTGCTTAAGAACTGAATGCTTCTTTTTATAGTTTCTTGAGGTGTAAAAGCGGTGACCGAAGTACATTTTGTATGAAGCGCTTACAACATATATACAAAATGCTCCGCTGGGGCGCAGCTTGATACGACCGCAGAGGTCGAACCCTGAACAGTTGGGGCAAGTATGCACACAACATTCAAGCTTGATACAGCACTGAATTTGGATTGTAATTAAATATTTGACACAGCATAGGTTTCTCACACAGAATGAAAGTGGTCTAAGAACTTAAAAATTTTTAATTTACCTATTCAAACCATATCATTATTATTTGCTTTAATATATAAATCAGAAATAACCAATTTAAAATGGAAAATTTTAAAGAAAAAAAAGGAAAAAAAATCCCCCCGTATTTTTTGAATCCCCTTATGATTCATCACCCCCAAACTCAATCCCAGCTTTCCCTTTGTGGTATGGTACCTTGCAGTACAATTTTAGAGAGATCCATACACTTGAACACAAGTTATTGTCTGGAACTAGAAAAATGCTTGTTTTAGGCCCCTTTTTGGGCCCAAATTCCTAAACGTTTAAGGCAATTACCCCCAAACTCAAACCCAGCTTTCCCTTTGTGATATGGAACCTTGCAGTACAATTTCATAAAGATCCATACACTTACACACAAGTTATTGTCCTGAAACTAGAAAAATGCTTGTTTTTTTGCCCTTTTATGGCCCCTAATTACTAAAATTTTGAGGGAATTACCCTCAAAATCAATCCCAGCCTTCCCTTGGTGGTATGGTACCTTGCAGTACAATTTCAGAGAGATCCATACATTTGAACACAAGTTATTGTCTGGAAACTAGAAAAATGCTTATTTTTGGGCAATTACCCCCAAACTCAATTCCAGCTTTCCCTTTGTGATATGGAACCTTGTAGTACAATTTCATAAACTTCCATACACTTACACACAAGTTATTGTCATGAAACTAGAAAAATGCTTGTTTTTTGCCCCTTTTTGGCCCCTAATCTAAAATTTGGAGGCAATTACCCCCAAAATCAATCCCAGCATTCCCTTTGTAATATGGAACCTTATGATACAATGTCAGAGAGATTCATACACTTACACACAAGTTATTGTCATGAAACTACAAAAATGCTTGTTTTTTGTCCCTTTTTGGCACTAATTCCTTAACTGTTGGTACCATAACCCCCAAAATCAATCCCCACCTTTCTTTTGTTGTATAGAACCTTATGGTAAAATTTCATTGAGATCCATTTACTTAAACTAAAGTTAGAGTGCGAAAACTAATGTGTCGACGACGACGACGCCAACGTCATACCAATATACCGGTACGACCACAAAATTTTTTTTGCGGTCGTATAAAAATGTGCGAGTTTGATTATTTTTGATGACTGTAATAATGTTTTTGTTGTTATGATTCGAACCCGCATCCACGTTTTTCCTTTTTCAAGAAATGTACCTAGATTTTCTTTTTATAACTTGAGGGATAATGGTGCAAAATCTTAATTCTTTGCCAAACACATCTAAGCAGACAAAAAGAAGACAATTGTCTAACAAAATTGCAAAGAAATTGCAAAGAGATATTCGTGTGACCGACGCTCGTCTTGGTGGTACTAAACAGAGTCTGTTAGAGGCGGCAAGAGTCTGATAGAGGTACTGACGATTTGGCTGGTACTTTATTAGTTTTTAATTTGGTGTCATCTGCCTTATTTCCACGTCTGTCAATATCACAAATACATCATGTTTTCTTTTTCAGAATTTTTGAATGTTTACAGAGGACATACCGGATAGTGATATATGTTCATATCTTGTGTGCATTCGATAGACTGTATGAGAGCGTAAACGTGTATGCTGTTGTATGAACGAATTCCTTAACTTCTCACTTCATTTAATATTACATATATGTCATCTGACTACTGAGTAATTCAAATAGAAAGACTATGCAAGAAATTCTAAAGGGTCAATATTCTGAACAAAACTTCTCGCCAGAATGTATAAATTAACTTTCAATTTCAAGCCCATTTGGCCTGGACCATGTCCAATCGGGTGAACTTTTATTTGAGATTATAGCATAATATTTAGTAGTCTTAGATTTTATCAAGTAATAATAGACCATCATGTTATATGATCATCTAACTTTTGTGAATGTTTCCTGCATATTTAAATCATCATTGTATTGTGTATGGTTGCATGCCCAATTTTGGGTCATTAATTAGAAATAAATGATCTTGCTTTGTCTGTACCATTTAATATATGTACAAAATAAAGTTTTCAATAATTTTGTTTCGGTCTTTATTTTTTTAAAAAGGTTTACATACTTGGTTTCCAATTTTTGGCTTAACAATCATTATATATTGTGGACATAAGCACATTGTGCAGGTAAATAATGTTAGAGTGTAAGGATTATATAAGAAGGCAAGAGGAGCAAATCCATCCCTTTCCCAAGTCAGATTTGTCCCCAAGTTGCTGTAAAAATATCGCAAAAATTGGTTATAAAACACATTTGTTGGTCATCTTTTGGAGAGCTGTCTCATTAGCATTCATACCACATCTCCTTATGTTTATACATTATCTAAACAAACAATCTTATAAAATAGTACTATTATAATTCGTATAGTAGGAAAACTGTATCGACTTTTTTGCAGCACAGCATTTCTTGAACCTCCTAAATACATTTCAGCCATTGGAATAAGGATCAATTATCTCACATTGTGACAATAGGAAAAAAGTCTTGACTGTATTTAAATTTTTTGATAAAAGATCCCAGGGTATCTAAACAGTCATATTATCCTATGTTTTTACAATTTCTCTCTATCTATTGTAGTTTCTTCTTTAAACAAAAAAAAAGCAAATAGTGTCTTTCAATGGCAATAATTCCAATAAGGGATTAATGTTGATTTCGGCTTTGTTGACTTATTTGAAGATCTTATCTTACTGATCAATTTTACTATATATTCTCTCTAACTGCTATAGTTTTTGCATTAAATGCAAAAAGAAGGGAAAATATCAGCCTTCAAGGGTAGTAACTCTTATAAAGGGCCAATTACCGATTTTGGTCATGTGATCTATTTGTAGATCTCATTTAGCTGAATATTTTTTACCATACTATAGATATCTGTATATGTACTAAAGTATGACAAAAAAGGGTAAAAACCATCTTCAAGGGCAACAACTCCTGTAAGGGGTCAGTAAAAAGTTTCAGCAATGTAAACTTTTTTGTTGATCCTAATAATCTTGTCATTTATACTAGACATTTCAGCGGCAATTGTTTGTTCGGTTTTTTTTTTCCTTGACCTGCTGATTATTTTTACCCTTGTGACTTTTGCCTGAACTGCTGTAGTTTTTGAGATATAAGCCTCAAATTTCAGTTTTACTCTTATGTTCTATTTTAGCAACAACTATCAAATCCCTGGATACATTTTTCAACAATATTCCCTAATTAAGGAACATTTCGGTAAAGTTTGGTAATATTTGGCCTTGTAAATACAGAGGAAAAGAACAGCAGGATAACAACATCTGACATCAAGTTATGGCAATAGCTGATCTGGCTATTGAGATATCCTTTCAATATCTGACTGGATGTTCAGATATTCTTTCAAAATATTCAAGGAAGTAAATAATCACAATATGAATTTGTTGGTACACATGCATCCAATGGAAGGTTTAATATTTGGATATTATTTTCAAATGAAAAAATTCAAACTTGTTCTTTATTTTGTGGTAATAAGCATTGTGTATATGTTTCATAAAATTTGGTTGAGGCAAACTAAAGTTAGAGAACGGACACTAAAAATTTAGAATTTTTTCCATTTATGAAGGGGCATAACTCTAGAACGGTTAGAGTGACGCTACCAAAATTCAATCTTGATATTTTGTGGTAATAAGCATTGTGTATAAGTTTCATAACATAATGGACAGAAATGCTGCATATGAATAATGCTATCAAAATGCAAGTTTTTATTGTTTAGAAACCTATTCCATCCAAACTTTTGCAATAATAACAAATTTCTTAATTTCCAGTCTGACAGAACCTCCTCAATATTTACAAGCCTCAATACAATGATTAGGCATTTATATATGAGGGTTTGGATGGGGGTTTACAGAATAGAGAAATAATGGGTAAAAAGTATTAAGGATAGAGAAAAATGGACTAAAAAATTCAAGAATACAGAAATGAAGGACCCCCATCCAGACCCTCATATATCAACATCTGTAAAATGCCACATAACATGCCATTTAAAAAACTTCAAATTTAACACTTTAATAATAAATTAACAATATAATAATGAACAAATATCCTTTTGCGTCATGCACTTGCCATGGTTGAGTAACCTAACTTATCCTCCAAGTCTTCATAATGTGTTTTGAGACGTTCCACTTGCTGATTAAAATCTGTATCAATCTCATCACAATTCTGATACTGTTTCTTTAGGAACTCATCCCATCGCTCTTTTCTTGATGATCTGTTTTGTCGCAGCTGTTTGTTCTACAATGAATATTAATATGACATGTGATTCTGCAATTAGGCCATTTTTTAAATTTCTGCTGGTGCACACACAGTCAAACTTTCAGACTTTTATGTAAAGTTTATGAGAGCATTTGCCCAGTTTACTAATCAATAACCTTGAAAAAAAAGAATCATTATTATTCTCAACCCAAACATTTATTATTTTTTTTCGATAAATTTCATCTTTCCACACACTAGTCTTTCATTCATTAGATTGATGGATGGATGGATGGATGATTAGCTGTTTAACACCATGGTTAAGTGGCAAAGTAAATGCATATTCAGGACATGAATATTTTAATGAGATATGAATATGAATCCTGCTTATTACTAGACCAACACACTGAACTGAATTTTAACCTGCTAGTTCAAAAGGTAACCATCTGCAGAAAAACATGTCACCCTTGCTCTTACTCCAAAATGATGCATGCTTAGTAGAGAACCAGGCAATGCCAATTTAAAAGTCTTTGGTTTAATCCTGCTTGGGTTTGAACACAGGCCCTCCTGCATCTGAGGCAAGCACGAGACCAACTAGACAGTCACAAACATTAGTATCAAATATGAATATCGCACTGAAGTTGACATAGTGTTTATATAGGGGACAAAAGGGTTCTAGCAACATGTCTATCAAAGTGTAAAAGTCAGTCAAAATAGCCTTAGGAACTGCAGTTAATCAAACGTAGCAAGACACATTTTTTGGCATTTAGATGAGAAGCAATCTCATTTTATATGTTTTTCCTCCAATAATGAAAAAAAATCATGTAAGATATGTAACACTTTCAAAGAGCAAAAATTGTATTTTCCTTGACTACCATATTGTAAAAACCTCATGATGATTTGCAAAGGAATGCAAACGTGCCTAATTTTAAAAAAAATCCCATCTGTCGTGTTTGATTGTGAAAAAGTTAAAAGTCAGTTAAAAAGGTTGTAACAAAATGCCATTTTACATGCAAATTTACAAGTACTTATTCTTGTCTGCTAAAATCTCATGTTTTGTTGTCGTAGAGCAATTGAATGGCAGACAATAATTTTTCTGTACTGGGAAATAAGCAGAAATAAGCAGAAAATATGTCACCAAATATCCAGTGAAAGCGTGATACCGAAAGGTGACCATTTTAAAGACAAAGGAAGGATCCTAAATGTTGCAAGGAGCATCATCATGAAAGACTAATCAATTGGTACCACTTGTATTAAGACTAAATTAATTTGTTTTCTTTTTTCAGTTTTATGTCAACACTCCTGGTCTTGCTTCTAAGTTTTTGGAGTTCATGCGATTTCTCCATTTATATTAGTTTTCAAGTTAAAAAAAAAAATAAATAAAAAATGGGTATTATACATCTTAATCTAATAAGTGCAGTGTTCTTCCCACAAATTTCATAAAGTATCCTGGTAAATAGGGAATCTTGTTTCTAGAAATTATAGCATCACATCCATAACAATATCTTTAAGATTCAGATAGCATTACATTGAAGCACTATATCATATTGCATCACATTACCATGATGCTTAAAGGCCATGGGAGACAACTGCAAGGGTCTTGTCTTTTTGTCTGATTCTATGCAGTATTTGTATTAAATCATTGTTATCTCCCCTTACATCAATCATAATTCCTTCTACTTTGTTTTCAATGCTAAATGTTGAGTTATGGTAAAATTGATAAATTCTATAAAATTATGCAACTATCAAACTAATTCTGCTTCCCCTAACTTTACTACAATATATTTCATGCTTTAAATGTTACACCACCAAGAAGAAACTACTTTTTATGAAAAAGAACTATTTTCTAAAGCCAGACCTCTAAATCAGTGGTTTTCCACTTCAACAATTAATAAGTAGAGTTATCTCCCTGTATGTGGTAATTTACCTCAAGTATTTCACCATCTTCAATTTTCCTGCACATTTCTGTAGCAACTTTTACTGAAAATAAAGAGAAAGATGGATTTTAAATTATAAGTACATGTAATGAATAAACTGCTTCGCTAAGCGCAGCTGGATATGCCCGCAAAGGTCCAACCCTGAACAGTTGGGGCAAAAATGGACACAATATTGAAGCTTGATACAGGTCTGAATTTGGATTATCATTAAACATTTGACATATTATAGGTTTCTGAATAAATGTAGTCGAAGAACTTGAAATTGGTTATATGAATTGAATTTATATTCAATTAAAGATTTCTTGCTGTTGTGCAATACACTGTGCTGTTGCGCAATACTTAGTAAATCTGTTGTCAGACTATAAACAAATAAAGTTCAATTAATTCTCAATGTCATATTAGAAATTTATGAAAATGTAAAGGGAGCTTACATCAATAGATATAAACAATTCACCAAAGTTTCATGAGAATTGCTGACAACATTTTTGAGTTATTGTCTGAAAACTGGAAAATCCCCCCTTTATTAATGAATAAAACCCAGTAACTCAGAAATGATAAAAGAAAAATTTATAAAATTCTCAATGGAGCTTACATCAATAGATATAAACAATTCACCAAAGTTTCATGAGAATTGCTGACAGCATTTTTGAGTTATTGTCCTTAAAACTGGAAAATCCCCCCTTTTTTAATGAATAAAACCCCATAACTCAGAAATGATAAATGAAAAATTTATAAAATTCTAAACGGAGCTTACATCAATAGATATTAACAATTCACCAAAGTTTCATAAGAGCTGCTGAAAGCATTTTTGATTTTTTGTCCGAAAACTGGAAAATCACCCTTTTTTATGAATAAAACCCTGTAACTCGGAAACGTAAAATCTAAAATATATAAAAATCGAAAGGGAGCTCATGTCAATAGATATAAGCAATTTACCACAATTTCTTGCAAGTTGGTGACAACATTCTTGACTTATTGTCCGAAAAACTGGAAAATCCCCCTTTTTTTAATGAATAAAACCCCATAACTCGGAAACGTAAAATCTAAAATTTATAAAAAACAAAAGGGAGCTTACTTCAATAGATATAAACAATTCACCAAAGTTTTATGCAAAATTGGTTGAAGCGTTTTTGAGTTAATGTCCAACATGTTGAAGACGGACGGACAGACAGACAGACGGACGAACGGACAGACGGACAGAGGTATACCATAATACCTCCCGTCAACGGGCGTATAAAAAAGCACAAACTTTCTTTCAGATGAAAAATAATCTATTATTATTATGACAATTTTGAAGATCAAATGAATGTTTCAGCAGAAGTCTATCATAAAATACTTATTGAATAATGATGGACAATATATAAATAATTTGTATGCTACCAGACCTGCCAAACCTCCCAAATTAGGGAGATTTTTTCCACTTGAGATGTGTTAATCTGACTCTTAAAATAGTCTCACATATAAACATTCACTAGATGGAATTAAAAGAAAGGCTATTGCAGAAAGTAATTTAAGTTCTAAAAACAAACATTTAAAATATATTGGGTTTCATGTTGAGGGGATACTTTATTGTGTAGTTCCCTTGTTAGTTTTTGAAGCTAGGGAATGTATTTAAAAGAGAACATCTATTATAATATGAAGTACATTTCAGCTTGAACATGTGGAAGGAAATTAAGTGTTGCTTTAATCTCTTATACATTTGTTCATGTCAATTCTGTACTGATTTTTCTTCACTTTTCAATTGCTTTTATGCTTATGCAAACCTTTGTTGATGAGTCTGATGGAGAATGCAACTAAAAAACACTACAACACTGAAAATAAGGATGGATACTTTATACATGTATGTACTATCAAATCTGAATATAAAGGGTCAACCTCAGGACCAGAAAAAACAGACCTTATAGGGAGATTACCTTTCAATTGAGGTTCAGAATACATCATGTACATAGATCTTATTACAACAAGAAAGGAAGAGGATGACCTGTCAAGAAAGGTTTTGGCTGATATAGCAGGTTTGAGTTTTTTTTTTTATCCCTCCTGATCTTTTCACTAAACATTTAGTAGGCACATATTAATCTGGTAAAGATGTAGTACTAGATTTGTGTATACCTTTTACAGATATATCAGCTAAAATGCAATTTTTAATAAAAATATAGCAATTATTATGCAGACCTTACTGGTTAAAATCGTGAATCAACTGTTAATTGACTATCTGATGGATTTATTTACTGGTTACAATTTACACATGCGCTGTAACTCAGTCCTGTTCACCCCTGAAAAGTGGAAAGTGGATGGTATTAAGCCTGGCTTTATTGAGGCAAAGAGGAGGTTGGGCCAGAATGCCAGGTCTATATCATCAACCAAGAAGACTTGTATGGTATTTGGACATACCTTTAGCAGATATATCAGGCAAGAAGACCTGCATAGCTTTCAGACTCTCAGGGATCAGCTTCTCGTTCATTTCTTTAACATTGTCTAAAACTTTTTCTAATCTCTCTGGTTCCCTGTTTTGTCTTTTATCCTAGATATATGAATCAATAAAAATAATAAATAATAATTGTGGCGTCAGACATTTTCTATTGTGATGTCAAAATTTTACGGGAACCTTTGTGATGTCCAGTAATGGCGGACAAATAGCGATAAGGTGTATTGCATAGGATTATCTCTGCATGCACTGTTCATGACATAGCTGTGTGAAAAATTTTGGTTAGAATAGCAGACAAAATTAGTGTGTAGGACTTTTTAAATCAGCAGATTGAGTACAGACACTGTAGATTCATTTATTTATGTGGATGCTAATTTTCGCGGATTGAGGAAAACTTCGCATTACCTGCATATATTATTTTGTGAGATTTGCTTAAGTCTGTGTACAATTCTTTAAACTAGAAGCTCTAAGAGCCTGTGTCACTCTCTGGCATCTTCAACAATAGCCATTTTGTGGTAAAAATCATCATGAAAGGGCAATAACTCTATCCAGAGTTAACTGACAATCTCAGTTATGTTGACATATTTGTATATTTTGTCCTGCTGAGAATTTTTCTTTTTAAAGTTTCTATTGACATTTGTATCTATTACCCGGCCTTTTTTAAGATACTAGGCAAAAACTCCAAAAAATGGTAAAACATCTTTAAAAGGAAATAACTCCAATAACAAGTTGACTAAAGATTTCTGCCATGATGGCTAATTTGTAGATCTTGTCTTGCTGATCATTTTTGCTATATCATGTATATAAACTTTCTATCTATCTTTTATAGTTTTCAAAATATAAAACAAAAATGCCAAAAATTGGAAAAATTGTCATTAAAACACAAAGGCAATCACTTCAATAAGGAGTCAACTTACGGTCATGTTGACTTGTTTTTAGATCTTGACTTTTACGGTTGATCATTTTGACTTTTAAAGTTTCTTTTTATCTAGATCTATTATAGTTTTTAAGATACAAGACAAAAATGCAAAAAATTGGTAAAAATTATCATTAAAGAGCAATAACTTCAATAAGGAGTAGTCTGATGATTTCAGTCATTTGACTTATTTGTAGATCTTGTCTTGCTTATCATTTTTCCTTTTAAAAATTTCTCTGTATCTATTATAGTTTTCAAAATAATAAACAAAAATGAAAAAAAATGATAAAATTTGACATTTAAGGGCAATAACACCTAAAAAGAAGTCGTCTAACAGTTTTGACGTAAATAGACAGCTGGTAGATCTCAACATTCTCAACATTTCTGCCTTTGTCAGATTTTCTCTATTCATAGCGATTTTCAAGATAATAGACAAAACTTTCATTTTACCCTATGTTTTATTTTTAACCATGTCGGCCACCTTGATTGACAAGCAGGGTCATTGGACACATTTTTTAAGCTAGATACCCCAATAATGATTACGGCCAAATTTGGTTAAATTCAACCCAGAAGTTTCAGAGGAGAACATTTTTGTAAAAGTTAAAAGACAATGACAATGATGACGACGGACAACGGGCGCCAAGTAATGAGAAAAGCTCACTTGTTCTTTTGGCCAGGTGAGGTATAATAAGTACTTTGTGTAACATTTAAAATCGTGGTTGACCTATTACCATGAAATCCATGAAAATTGGTATCCCATGAATCATACTGAATCCACAGTACTTTGAGCGTGCTACCATCTGGCAGTATTTTTTAGGGTTGTTTAAAGGTGTTTATAGAGTTACTAATTCTTCTGATTTTAATTCAAATGTCATTAACCATGTTACGATTGTGTATAGTTATATACTATGTCATGAACAATGTCAGCGGTTATCTTCAGTTATATATACCTTATGTTTTTTTCCTTGAGGGGAACAGATGTTGATAGATATTGAATAGTCTCTGAGAAAGTTATGCACAACTAGTCTATCTCTGTTGACCTCTGGATGTCTTTTGTTTTATATTTTAGGTCGTTCCTTTGTCTCATTGACACATTCTACATATCCTGTTATTCATTTGAGACTTATCAAAATCTGACACAAGATGAATAAGATATTTTCACATAATTACCTCAAATTCTTGTACAAAATGGTTGATATGTCCTTGTAAAACTGGTCTGTGGTCTAATAATCTAGCATGAATCTCATTCACATCTACATTTTAAAATATTCAAAACATTCATTCATAATATACATCGAAACTTAAGTTTTGGGAATCCTTAATCTGACTATTCATTTATAATTTGAAACATTTTATCCCACTCAATGATGGGTACTACACAGTAAAAGTTAAAAAGTCATAAATTTTAAAATATACATGAATTGAATTAATTACATGTCCTTATGTTTTTTAAATTTTTTTCCAAATTGACAAGTCTGTAATTTTGGCATTTAATTTCTGGTGAGTAACTCATTGGAAAAAGTGTTTGTTTTTCAAGCCATTTGTTTTCTCGTTTCAATTGTTCCACATCATGTCATTTCAGGGCCTTTTATAACTGAATATAGGGTATGGGTTTTGCTCATTGTTGAAGGCAATACAGTAACCTATTATATGAAGTAACTTATAACATTCACATCATTTGGCCTCTGGTGGATAATTGTCTGAATTTAGCAATCATTCCACATCTCCTTATTTCACAACAGATTAAAATATGTTGTAAAGTGGCAACTTTATGCATTTAATTCTAGCCAGTACTTCACACTATGAAAAGTTTATTTCGTAGAGTTATAAACAGAAAACTGACTGCATAATTTTGTATTCTTATATAGTTTATAAAAACTACATACTCATATTTTACAACTATTAAGGTAGATGGGGGGTCTAAATTAAAATCCATAGAATTTTTTAATTATTTGTCAAATGTAGTTTATGTCATGCTTTTTTCAAAAATATAATAAGAAGTATGGGTCACTGGACTTTTTATCATGCTACAGGTTGTGCAAAATTGTCAGATTTTGTATAGATTATGCATGGAAAACCAAATTTTGTGTGATAAAAAGAAAACTACACCATAGAATTTTAAGATAAAATATGAGAAGATAGCTCTAATAACATGCTTTCAGATAAGAAAAAGAAAAAAATGGGGTCACCAGACTCGTTTTCTTGCTACATAATAAAATAGGTAAATTCACAACACAATCTATTATAAAAGTTACTTCATCTGAGTTATGTCCCCATATATCTGAGTTATCTACCCTTATGTTGCAAAGTCGGAAAAAAGTGAATCAAACAAAAATATTCTGTTTTTTGTAAAATACAGCCGTAAATATGATAAAACACATAATTTTCTATATTAAAATGACAAGTCTTACACATGAATTACATACTACTCTCGAAATTTTCACATTTCATTAAAGATGTAGACCGATTGCTATCTGCTATTTCAAAATGCAAGATGGAAGAAGACACCCCAACTACCTTAATTACTTACATATAATCCATGTCAACTTGAACCTTTGCCAAATCCTACTCATCCAATTTGTATTAAATTTATAGCAACTTCTACAAGTGCCAAATTGTATCTTATTTTTGGATATCAATTTTTTATGATACTTTACGTTCAAATGCCAGATTTAAATTGGTTCATGAGGGAGATGTTTTACTCAATTCCATGGATCAATGGGAGACAATTTTTTTAATTTCTTGTAGATTGTTATAGCTGACAACACAGTATGAGTTTTTCTCATTGTTGAAGGCCGTACTGAGACCTATTATTGCTTATATCCATGTCATTTGACTCTCGTGAATAGTTGTATCATTGGCAATCATACTACATCTCCTTATTTTTATATTGAAAATATATCATAAATGCTTGAAATGGTTTCAATGTATAGAAAGAGACAAACCTTGCAGCCCTTTTTTTATTTTGTTTATATTCTCAATTAAGTAAGGGTCCAAAACTGAGATTTGCATATAAACATAAGTAGATGTGGTATGATTGCTAAAGAGTCAACTATTCACAAGAGATGCATTTCTTTAAATATCATTTTCCTAGGCCTCTAGGTTCTCTATTAGTTAAGGATGGCATTGATAAATATACACACAATATTAGGTCAAATGTGAGAAAAATATCAACATTTTTGTATGCAGCTTAGAAACAGGGGAAGGGCAGGGTTTATCAAGCCCTTCAACAGTTCCATGCCAAATACAAAAGAGTTGGTATTTTTCTGACATTGACCTAATATTAGTTTTATACTGCCGCTTAAAATTGATTAATTTATATTTATGAAAATGTAAACACTGAAATAAAACTTATTTTCCATCCCTAAACGTACCCCAGGTAGTGGAGAAAATTGATGCAACATGAAGTCTACATTGCACAAAATTTTAAGCATACTTTTATTCCGGCGTGTAAGTTTTTCCGATGAGTACATTTACACTAGTGTTGTCTTTTTGTAAATACTGTGAAACAGAACAAACACACAGGTAAATTTTGTTTATTTGGATTATCAATTACAGATTTCTCAGTTATAAATTTTTTTTCCATGCTCTAGGTGATTTCTTGGTGTCTGTCATTGTCTTATTTCCTTGAAGGATAACTTCAGCCAAATGCAGATAACATAAATTATCCTTTGTTTATTTGTGTATATTTACCAGGAATAACTACACTAGTGTAAAATTTCCACATAAAAATTTATTTTTTACATGGTGATTTTAATATTTTTTTAACCCCCTCCTAAAAAAAAATTTTTTCAAGCACTGGCTTTGATTACCCGCAAAAAGTAACAAGATGAAATAAATATTTACTTCTGAGACTAATTGCCAAAATGTGTTTATGGACAAGGACCCTTCATGATTTCATACGGAAATTGCAGGTAGCAATAATATCATATGTTATTGTTCTGTGCAAAGTATATTCAGGCAGGCACTGATCTAAAAAAGTTTGATTTGCGATTAAACTGTGAAATTAAAAAGTATAGCAAAAAATTCCGGATTAAGATAAATTCAAAAAGTGGAAGTCCATAAAAACCGACAAAATCAAACGTTATCAACCAACGGAACGAGTGAAAAACGACTGTCATCGTGGTCATATTCCTGACTTGGTATAGACATTTTCAAAAAAAAAAAAGTGGTTTAAACAATTAAATTATTTTATTATGTGAAAACCTTAGCCTGGTGATGATGACGATTAAACTTCCAGATGTATAGAAATATTAATAAATTGTGTCTGTGTTGAATGGTTTGTTAAACATAACCTCAGCGGAACAATTTGTTTCAGTTAAGATTCTTATGAAATTGCTCGACGAGAAAATTAATCTCAATCAGATAAAATGTATTTTTTCAATGAGTTGAAATAACTAAAAACAAATAAGAAATCTCAAAATGCCACCTAAGGCTACATACTGGATGTGCAGAAAGTGCCACAAAAATAAATAGCTATAAGAATTCTAAATATGTATAAATGTGATTTTATTCTATCATTGCTTATGCTCAATAAATAATTTTCTATTCCTATAAATTTTTTTCAAATATGTTAAACAACGTATATACAAGGCAATGACATGGACGGTACAAAGTATCCTGATGCTACAAACAAAAAAGACATAAATTGGAAATGTATAAAATTTTGCAGGTAACAATAAAAAATGAAATTATTGTTACCTGAAATTTCTGTATGAAATCGGGTCCTTGTCAGGAAATACATTTGGACAGTTAGTCTCGGATGTAACAATAATTATTTCTTATTGTTAGTTTTTGAGGGTAAATATAGCAAGTGCCCGTAAATAATCTTTTAAGAGTGTTTTGGATACATAAATAAACAAAGGACGATTTACACTAAGCATGGAAAAAGTAACCTAGCGCAATAATTCCTCTGGAAATTATACACTAGTGTAACTTGTCCTCTAGAAAAAATACACTTGTGGAATGAATACACTGTTACAAAATATCCCTTTGTTACTATATTTGGTAGATAAGGACAACAGGAAGTGTTCTAGCTGCAATATAAAAAGGACAGAGATATTTTTCTCATCGGCCACGGAACATAGGATTTTTAAGCATGTGAATGAATTATTGCCTTGATATTTATGTTGTATAATGTATACATGTATACAAAATTTATTTGTGTCTCATTAAGGTTCATCATAACCTTTTGGCTAATATGGCCGTATTTACGCCACAAATTTTACTCAGAGTAGAGACAAACCTGTGCACCTGGAAAAGTTTCAAGGCATGACAGAACTAGATAATTCAATTCTAAATGCATTTTATGTGTCAGAAAATTATAAACTTTTCTGGATTTTGCTATTCATTTTTTTTTCATTCGTGCAGAAGGTGCAAAAATAAACTAAGTTGGGAAAGAGGTTTGTGAAGCTCCCCTCATAATATAAATGTTGTGAGTAGCATTGATTTAAATGGACAATAGGCATCTGCAAACAATAGGTGATTTAAACTGTGTAACTGAGTGGAACATATCAAATGAAACTCGTGTGTTTGTTTATTTTGTTATCTTCTGCAGACTGGAACAAAATGCACATCAAAATCCAGGTAAGTTTTTAATTTTCTGAAACATAGACTACATATAACTTTTATATATCTAGGTCCTGCCATGCCTTAAAACTTTCCTAGATGCATCAGTTTGTCTGTACTCATAGTAGATTTTGTGGTGTAAACACGCCATGATTTTCAATTCCTTTTGACATGTTTGAAGAACCTTAAATCAGCCAGCCCTGATACAAAATTGCAGTACTCGATCTAGTCAGCTAATAAAAGCAAGTGTTGTGTCTTTTAAAGTACGAGTTCAGTTTGTTTTTTGCATTTAGTTGTAGACCTATATCGTAATTGCTTAGAGCTGAAATTACCCTTAAATATGGTTTGGTCAATCATGTTAGGAGTCAGCCCCGCCCACTTTTTGTTGTTTCAGAGTCATTCAATTTCTTGATAAACACAAAGAAAATAGCTCATGTCAAGCGCACGTATGATTCCTTTAATTTATATACAAACAGCGGACTCTTTTCCGGAATTCGATATACTGTGTCAAGGACGTATATTAGAAGGATACCGCCTTGATAACATCAGAGAAATACCGCGTGATGCGAGAAAACACGAGATCTTGCAGAAAGCTTCAGCGGGAATTGCAGCTTCGAGATTTCTACATCAATTTGTAAGTATAAAAACATTACATGAATAATTAAAAACAGATTTAGTAGAAGTTATTTTTATGGTATTTAATGATATTTCACTACAAAATCAACATAAGACGCTTATAAACATCATAATAAGTGATCAACCGTAAGGATGCCAGATGCAGGGTCCTTGGGTGTGCGCATGCGCCGATATCGGACGTATCCTTTTTTCCACTGCAAGAAAATTTTTTGAAAATTGTTTGTATCCTTTCGAAAATTAATTTGATTTATTTACAGAAGGGTAAGGTAGTTCCATCATCCAACCAGAAAAACTTCTACATAGAAATCATATCCTATCATCGTCTCCCAACACTGAAATCCTCGATCAAAGTGTGGTTACCTATGTAAACAAAGAACAAAATGGCGGCAATTACGAAATAAAATTTTGACAGATCGACAGTCAAGCGGAAGTTAAGTAAGGTGTGTAGGTGAGTTCATCTTATCACCACCTTCTTAATCAACCAAGCGATGTCACTCTTAATCTTATTTCTATTCCTGATGTCAGTTGGATACCATGTATCCCCTACAAAAACAACAGATAGGCAAAATGACAAACTGCTACCCATAAACCAGCTCCTTTACACTGTGTACAAAAACATTTACATAAAGAATAACCTGAACCACAAAGGAAAGCTGCTATTATACCTGTCAATAGTCCTTCTTACGGGTTCAAATGATATTGAATTAAATCCTGGCCCATCAGGAAACTGCTCAAGATCAGAAAATAATTCCACGATATATCCGTGTGGAACATGTGACAAACCGGTCACATGGGACGACAAGGGAATTGTCTGTGATACATGTAACCAGTGGTATCATGCCCAATGCCAATCCTTAGACACCAAATATTACTTAGAACATGTCAACAATTCAGGAATTGCGTGGAACTGTATAATGTGTGAATGTCCAAACTACTCCACATTCTGCTACTCACTAGTCTTCAGTTCTTCCAACCAATTCAGCATTCTTTCAGACACACCTCTCGACAGTCCAACTCCAACACGAAATCTCAGGCCTGTCCACTCATCCACTCCAGGAATAATACGAGGAAATCTAAAGCAACATCAAACACCACAAGCACAATACGCATGGTAAATGTAAATTTTCAGTCTATCAAAACTAAGCAAGGCCAACTGTACAATATGCTTGATAGTACCAAACCAGACATCATACTTGGAACTGAGACGTGGATTGATTCAAGCATTAAAGACAGCCAAATTTTTCCACCAGGATACAACATATACAGGAATGATCGAAACCTGAATGGTGGAGGGGTCCTAGTTGCAGTACGGAACAACTTGATCAGCTCACCAGTCACAGAACTACAAACAGATTGTGAAATGGTATGGTGCAAACTAGAACTAGTAGGACATAAAGCCATCTACCTAACATCCTTTTACAATCCCAAAACATCCAATGAAGAGGGATATAAGCAATTTGACATCAGCATGAGTAGAGCTACAAATGTGAAGAATGCATTTATCATTGCAGCCGGGGATTTCAACCTACCTGGATGGGACTGGAAAACTAACAAACTAAAACCAAAAACCCAGAATGTCAACATTCACCACAAATTTACAGACATTTTAGATGACCATGGGCTAACTCAAATAGTTAATGAACCAACTAGAGGAACTAACACCTTAGATTTGTTTATAACAAATTATCCAGACAACTTTAGGAGAACAGAAGTGATACCTGGCCTGTCCGACCATGACATTGTTTATACTGAAGTGGACAGAATACCAGCAAAATTACAACAGAAACCAAGAAAGATCTTCCTTTACAAAAAGGCAAAATGGCAAAATGTGAAAGACGACCTTCACAATATCAAAGTCACAGCCAAATCACTCCATGATAACAAATCCTCTGTAAATGACATCTGGAACCTATTTGCAACATCATTAGAAGATCGCGTCAATAAAAATATACCAACTAAGACAGCTCGTAAAAAGGATGGTTACCCATGGATTACAACAGACCTGAGAAGACTTAAAAGAAGAAGGGACAAAACATATAAAAAGAAGAAAAAATCAGGTGATAAAAGGGACACTGCTTCATACAAAGATCTAAAGAGCAAAACCCAAAAAGAACTTAGAAAGGCCTATTGGAGGTATATCGAGGACATCGTTACACCAAGTAGTGAGTCGGACAGAGGTACTAACTGCATGAAAAGATTCTGGACGTACATTAAGCATAAACGGTCAGATGGGAGTAGCATACCACCGCTTAAATCAGCAGACCTACTACACGACGACTCAACTGACAAAGCCAACATCTTAAATGGACAGTTCCAGGAAGCATTTTCAAGTAAAAATGACCTCAGTAACACAGAATTTAAGGAAAGATGCAACATGTCTGGCCAATACCCCACAGCACCTGATATTACTATCACACAAGAAGGAATTAAGAAACTACTAAATGGTTTAAACCCCCATAAAGCTGCGGGTCCAGATAACATCTCACCTATGATCCTTAAAGAACTAGCCAATGAAATAGCTCCAATACTCCAACTTGTCTTTCAGAGATCATATGACACAGGAGTGGTACCATCATTATGGAAAACAGCAAACGTTTGTCCAGTTTTCAAAAAAGGGAAAAAGTTTGAACCAATCAACTACAGACCAATATCATTAACCTGTATATGTTGTAAGATAATGGAGCACATAGTAACCAGCCACATCATGTGCCATGCAGATAAAAACAACATCCTGTATGACCTTCAACATGGATTTCGGAAGAAACTATCATGTGAAACCCAGCTGATAGAATTCATCGACGACTTCACCAAAAACCTTGATAGTGGCCAACAAACAGACTGCCTAATCATGGACTTTTCGAAGGCATTTGACAAGGTCGGCCATAGTCCAATAACACACAAACTTCAACACTATGGAATAAGAGGAAAAACAAACGAATGGATTAAAAGCTTCCTATCTGAGAGAACCCAACGAGTACTAATAGAAGGGGAAACATCTGACTCCATTGATGTAGAGTCTGGGGTACCACAAGGATCTGTGCTAGGACCCAGCCTCTTCCTCTTCTATATAAACGACATGCCAGAAAATATTAAATCAACTGTGAGGCTATTTGCAGATGACACCATTGCATACATCACAGTAACATCAGATGATAATACCCTCCAGGAAGATTTAGACAGGTTGGCTGTCTGGGAAGAAAAATGGATGATGCAATTCCATCCAGATAAATGTCAGGTATTATCAGTAACAAAGAACAGAACACCTATTATAAAGGATTACCGTTTACATAGCCACACTTTGGAGCACGTAACATCTGCAAAATACTTAGGAGTAACTATAACATCAGACCTTAAATGGGAAAAACATATCGGAAACATCTGTGCCAAGGCAAATAAAACCATCGGATTTCTCAAAAGAAATCTCAATATCTCTAACAGTGATATCAAAGTAAAGGCCTACATCTCCCTCGTTAGACCAACAGTCGAGTATGCCAGCTCTCTATGGGATCCATATATTCAAAAAGATAAACACAAGTTAGAAATGGTACAAAGGAGATCGGCCAGATATGTAACAAACCGTTACAGTAACAGATCATCCGTTACTGATATGTTGGAACAACTAAAGTGGACACCACTTGAAGATAGAAGGAGAAGCGCACGACTATCAATGCTGTATAAGATCAACAACCAGGAGGTCAACGTTGCAGCAAGCCACAAACTCGTTCCACCGGACAGGATCTCAAGAAATATGGGCAGAAACTCTTTTCAGATCCCACAATGTAACACGACAACAAGGAAAGAGTCATTCTACCCGAGGACCATCAGGAATTGGAACGCTTGCCCTCCTCAGTTACATCTGTCAGCAGCCTTGAATCGTTCAAGAGGCTCCTGACAAACAAATAAATCAAAAGCCCTTGTTTTTAACCCCCACTGTTAAATATTTGTATAGCACCTTTTTTTGTTTGTTACTTAATCAAAATTATATAATAAAATTTTGCGCACACCCCAAAATGACAGAATAGTCAACATGATGACGGTGGTCACTAACCGGTAGAAGCTGCCCATGATGCTGGGTCCGAGTTGCATGACATGTCATGTTGCATTGAAATTATTAAATTTTATTGCTATAACTTCTACAAAATTATTTGATTACAAGTTTTAGTTACCATTTACGTTTGCATATGAAAACAGAGTGTCTTTTGTTGTGTATTTCACGTGTAATGTAACATACAGCAAGCCCTTCTCGGTAAACAAAATGGCGACTTACTTGGAAAATGGCCTTTTATTTTTGCAGCTAAATTTTCATTTTTGGTGTTAAAAGACACTCTAAATTGAACGAGTTCTTTTCCTTATATATTTTTACGTTTGCCTAGCAAGTTCCAACTTCTTTTGTTGAGAAGTAAGTCAAATATTGATGTTATTTCGTCCCCTCAATTTTTTTGGTCAAAATGTTTACCAATCAGAGCAGAGATGCTATTTTGCAGCTATATGTTGAATATATGCTACACAATCACATATTGCATTATTTTTTCCCATTTCTTAGACAATTTTACACTTGCATAGAAAATTTTAGCTTACTATGTTGAGAATTTGATTAGACATTGAGCTACAAATGAACTAATTTTTAGCAGCTATATTTTGTTTTCATAATATCTCACTATCAGAGCATAGCTGCTAGTTTGCCGATATATGGTCAATGCACGTTGCACAAAAATGCACAAAAGTAATTTTCTTCC